CTCAGGCTGGGCTCAAATCTGGCAGTCTTCCTGTCTCAGCCTCCCACAGTGCCTAGATTACAGGTTTGTTCTGCCATGCCTGGCTCTCTCTATACTTCTGTCCAATGTAAGTAGGCTAGAACTAGGTACAGACCTTTCCATGAAGAAAAATCTAATGGGTAATCATCTGAAATAACTCTATTTCAGAGAGCCTTATGGTATGTTCACAAGATTAGCTCTGCTAAATATTATTATTATTTTGGAGGGGGTGGTACTAAGGATTGAACCAGGGCCTGGTATATTACTAAACTTCTTTAGATAGAATCTGAGATGGTTGATTTTTTAATAATCTCCAAACCCTAACAGTGTTATTATGAGAGTGTATCATGTGTATTTATTACAGTGCAGCTTGATAAACTAATATATAGTTGTTGTCATATTGGGATGGCCAATATATATCTTTTACTGGCGTCTTGCAATGGACTGTAAAACTGTAAGAGCAGGAACCATAGATGTGTTGTTGTTCATTATTGTGTCCTGCATGTTTAGTACCATACATGAGTGGGTGAGTATGCCTTTGAGACTCTGCTTTCGATTCTTTTGTGTATATAATCCCAGAAGTAGAATTCCAGGATCAAGTGATATTTCTATTTTTATTTATTTTACAAAACACAACCAAAATGTGTTTATTTAATATGCATTGCAGTGGCTTAGCCAAAGACTTCATTTCAAAAGCAAAACAAAAACACCACAGCTCGGGGGCTGGGGATTTAGCTCAGCAGCATAAGCGCCTGCCTTGCAAGCAGCAGTCGTGAGTTCGATCCCCGGTACCGATAAAAAGGAAAAAGACAAAAAACAAACAAACAAAAAACACCACAGCTCAAGATAGTGTTCTACACAGTAATCAAGAAAAGGACAGACTGGGGAAAAAATAAAAAGATACCACTGGATACTTGCTGATAGAACTGGGGGGGACCAGCGGCGACTGAAAAGATAAGTATGAAATATAAATGACCTTTATTTTGAGAATGTGGGGAGAGACACCCCCGACCCCCTGGGGCGTGGCATCTTCACCCCAGGGTTGGCGATCTCTCGGTGGAACACGTGAAGTGAGGCGCATAAGTAGCTTCGGCTTGGGGTGGAACCTAAGGGGGGTATTAGGGATGCACAGGTAGCCCATTGGTCTTTGTTTGGTGCCAGAGGTAGATTCCTAAGGGTGGGGGGAGATAGAGCTCTTTGGTTCTGGCTACCCTATCCGGCCTGGGCCAAAACCCTTTCACTTGCTTTGAGTAGCCTTCCTACAGGGACTTCTTAACTGTGGGATTTTTCCCTAGAGCTAGGCAACCTATGTATTCAAAGGCTGTCAGCGCAGCCTCTGGGTGGATGGCAAGAAGGTCCTGATGCCATACAGGGCAGGCTACTTGTCCTTGAGGATGTCCAGGCAGCTGTTGACCTGGGTGTCTATGTCAGGGTGGTATCAGGGAGTGAGAAACTTCACTGTGGACACCTTGTAAGTGTAGCCACTGGAAGCTGTAGGGAGTGCTTTTACCTCAGGTCTTGTGTAATCAAGAAAAGGACAGACTGGGGAAAAAATAAAAAGATACCACTGGATACTTGCTGATAGAACTGTGGGGGACCAGTGGGGGAACTGTGGCTGCCCTGTGGATGGCTCCTACCCATTTGAAAAGATCATTTGTCTCATTCAGGAAAGACAGAAATTCCTTTCTCAGCAAGGTATCATGAAGGTCATCAACTGCTATAGCTTCTGCCAGGGGGCCCAGGCAGTTCCCCGCTAGGCTATGGTCTTTTACAGTTAGAAGTGACACAGGCCTCAGGGTTCCAGTTCTGGGAGGCCATCCCTCTTGCACTAGCGGCGGGGTGGGGGGGTGGGGAGTTAAACTACAGTTGTTTTTTTGTTTTTTCTTTCATTTGGTTTTGTTTAGCAACTGTTTTTGTTTGTTTGTTTGTTTGTTTTTTTAAAGACTGGGTCTTGCTTTGTAGTGTAGGCTGGCTTTGAACTAACTATTTCAGGCTGGCCTCCAATTGGAGGCATTCTTCCTGCCTCTGCCTCCCAAGAGGTAATATAGGCATGCACTACTGTGCCTGGCCTATGTTAAATCATCTTTCTATACCAGGTCTCCTTTCAGTTGATAAAGACAAATGGGAGTTAATATATAGCTATCTGGGAGATTCAGGCCTAATACTGGGTTTGTGTAATAGTTGGTGTAACAGTAATGAAAATACTGGGCTTTTCATTTGAAAAAAGTCTAGAAATATGTAGTATTAAATGAGGTTAAATCTAAATTAAGGTTCATTGGTAATTAGCAAGCATAATTTCTCTTAAAATGGCTTAAGCTCTATTCCATAAGGAATGGCTTGAGGCAGAGACCAGTCAGACCACTGGGTTTATGTAAAGGCAGCATGGCGTGGGATTTATTGTGCAGGTAAGCAGGGCAAAAAGGCTGACTGGGGAGCAAAGAGAAGCAGGCCTTTCTTTACAAGGCTTGAAAAAAGGCAAGGGTCATTAGGTGAGAAGTCCTTAATAAACATCAGTGGTCAAAGTTCTTTGGATATCTTATGCCTCTGGGCAAAGTTCTTGAGATGTTCAGGGTAAATGTTTGGGTGTCTTCAGATGTCTGTGTGTTTGGGAGATTTTGTGCGCCATCTTATCTCTTCTGACATCCTGTGTTTGTCAAGAGCACCAGTGTTGAGCTGAGGACAATGCTTTTTCTGGCAGACAGCTTGATATTGGGAGGGGTCATGTTTGAATTGAGTGAGCCTTGCATATGCATGTCCTTCTTATAGTGCCAGAATGTTATCATTCTAACTTGTAAATGATCAGGCTTCCATAGCAACTTGAAGATATTTGGAAATATGATAAAAATGAAACTGTAAAAGAAGCTTCAGTAGAGAAAGGTTTGCCCTGTTCAGACAGTTGAATGCAGATGTCTTGCGCTCTGGGTGACTGATGTGGGGACAGCAATGTGCAGTGTATACCATTGTTGACCTCTGGTTATTGTGTTGAAATTTTTTTCTGTTTGAAATAAAATGGATTTGAAAAAAAAAGCATCAGTTAAAACATCTGTAATTGTAGCAAAATAATTTGGAAAATCTGCATTATATTTGTTTATTTATTGTTGTGTTATGTTACATTATTTTGGTACTGGGGATCAGACTCATGACCTTGCCAGGTAGGCGCTTATACCACTGAGCTAAATCCCTAGCCCTTATTTTTATTTTAAAGAGAATAAAACAACAAAGCCAGTCAGAACAGAAAATGAAAGCAATACAGAACTTCAAAACAAGACAGTAGGGAATCAACAATGGCTACCATAATGCCTCTTGCCTTCTTCAAAATATATTACTGTTTTTTAATACCCCTTTTCTCAAAATTTTCCCTTTTACTTGCTCTGTAGCAATTTTAATTCACAGTGTATTCCTAAGTAAGGTTCTTAGATTTTTTGGGTTTTTTTTTTTTTTTTTTGAGACAGGATCTCATTGTGTAGTTCAGGCTGGCATCAAACTTAAAGCAATCCTCTTGCCTCAGCCTCCTGAAAGCAAGGATTATAGGCATTCTCTACCACACCTAAGAGGTTCTTAAAATTTTATTTTATTTTTTGTCTTTTTGAGACCGAGTTTTACCATGCAGTTGAGGTTTTTAATGTTTATATCATCTAGGTGTAAAAATCTCAAGCTATAGGCTAGACTGTTACATCACAGCTTACATTTTACTTAAGATACCCCGATGATAAGTGTGCACATAAGAAATTGAAAAGCACTCTAACTGTTCTCTGAGATTGTACCTCATTTGATTAAAGGAAAGTTAGGGAGTATTAAGTTTAAGGTAATTTACTAATCAAACATTAATATGTGGAAACTGCTTAAATTACAGGTAATTTTTTTCTGTATAAGTATAGAGAAGAAAAGTACAGAGAAACAATCTTTTTGTAGTGTTTAACCAAATTTTCCCATAATATAAACCCACCTGAGGTATAATTTTATTTTGTCTATATTGCTTCTTGAGTGGTTTATTTGCTTAATATAAACTGAGATTATATCAGACACAAATGAAGGTCTTCATGGAGCTTATCATCTAAGAATATGTGTGGGTAGGGGCTGGGGATTTAGCTCAGCGGCATAAGCACCTGCCTTGCAAGCAGGCAGTCATGAGTTCAATCCCTGGTACCGATAAAAACGAAAAAGACCAAAAAAAAAAAAAAAAAAGAGTATGTGTGGGTGCAGCCTAGAAGATGAAATTACTTCCATATTATTTTATGATTAATATTACCATAAATTTCCATCCCTACTCAATATTTTCAGATTCTTTAGTGTTAAAATTTATCATGGAGAACTATTTGCAACATTTTTAGAGGGCCTTTTAAAATAAAGTAGGATAATTAAAAATAGTAATTGATTACAGTTGGGGCTGGGGATTTAGCTCAGTGGCATAAGCGCCTGCCTTGCAAGCAGGCAGTCGTGAGTTCGACCCCTGGTACCAATAAAAACGAAAAAGACAAAAAAAATTTTAAAAAAATAGTGATTGGGGCTGGAGGTTTAGCTCAGCGGCATAAGCGCCTACCTTGCAAGCAGGCAGTTGTGAGTTCAATCCCTGGTATCGATAAAAAGGAAAAAGACAAAATAAAATAAAATAAAATAAAATAAAATAAAAATAGTGATTACAGGACAGGTCTAATATAAGTAATGCATTTAGTGTTTTCCTCAGAAAGTACACTTTGCATTAAAATCAAATTTTATTTTAAAATTTTAACTCAATGTAGTTGCAAATTATCTAAACAATAGAACTAAATTTGTTGCTAGATGTGGTGGTGCATGCCTGTAATTCCCAGTGTTTAGGAGGCTGAAGAGGAAGATCACTGTGAGTTTAAGCCAGCCTGAACTGCGTTGTGAAATCCTGTCTCCAAAAAACCCTAAATCATTGTTAGTTGTTACATAGGAGAAAAGCGGTCATGCTTTTATTTTTGTATCGTGTTGAATATTCTTGTCCCTTCTCATTCTTTCAGATTCATCAGGATTCATTTTTGATTTGCAGTCCAATACTGTATTGGCCCAAGGAGGAGTTTTTGAGAACATGAAAGAGAAGGTAAGACTAAATTGTGGTAGACAACAAACTTGAATGTCATAGGAAAATTTAGGAACTAATCACTAGTTACTACAAACACCTTATGAACCAGGGTACAGTAGTGCATACCTATAATCCCAGATTGAGGCAGGAAGATTACTGCAAGTTGAAGCCCCTCTGGACTATATAACAAGACCCTGTTTCAGAAAACACAAAATAAAATGAAATAACAAGACAAAGCTTCATTATGAAAGTGAAATTTTTAGGAACTAGAACAAAATACCACTGTGTATCAGTGGGTGAGATTACTGTAATAGTGCTAAGGAATGTTGTAAACATAATTTTCTTTGCATATCTTTATCTGTATTCTAAATTTTGTTGAAGACATACATTAATGTCATAACAAATACGTATAATAGTTACCAATCTCATTTGGCAGCGTCCTTAAGGAGTAGCCTGTCTCATAGGATCCTCCTAATCATTTGTAGAACATTGGTTTTGCTTGTTGTGTTTTGTGTGCGTGTGTGTGTGTGTGTGTGTGTGTGTGTGTGTGTGTGTGTATTTTTGTTTTGTTTCGTTTTTGAGACAGAATCTTGCTATGTAGTCCAGGCTGGCCTCAAACTTGCAGCAGTCCGCCTGCTCACTCTTTCCAATGCTGAGATACAGATGTGTGACACTGTACCCATTTGTTTTGTTTTGCTTTGCTTTTTGTTTTTTTTTTTCTGTCTTTTTGAGACAGGGTTTCAGTATGCAATTCAGGCTGGCCTTGAACTCACTTTGTAGCCCAGGCTGGCCTTGAACTTTCAGCGATCCTCCTATCTCAGCCTCCTGAGTGCTGGGATTACAGGCATGCACCACCATGCCCAGTCACTACACTCATCTTGAAGAGTATTCTTAAGTCCAGGAAACTTCATACCAAGAAGAGCAAATTTTCTCAGTAGCATTCCTTTGGAAGAAAACAGATATTTTTTAGTATTAATGTAACCCATAGTGAGCTAAAACCTTCTTTAAGCTCTTATTTTAGAAAAATGTGCTGTGTTGATCCAGAATAAGGCAGGCCACTGTGCAAGAGGAAAACCAGAAATCTTTAACAATAACAAATAAAGACAATCCTTTTAGCTATGTATGGTGGTATTGTCTGTAATCTCAGTATTCTGGAGGCTGAGGCAGCAGGATTGCCATGTATTAGAGGCCAGCATCAGCTACATAGTAAGACCTGGCTAAAAAAACAAAACAAGGAAAGAAAAATAACATGTATTATTTTAAATGTATTACTAAACAAAAAAAGTAAAGGAAATCCATGGAGCCAAAACTACAGATGAGAATCAAAGACTAGAACAGCAACTGAAACTGGGTGACTGTGCCAATAGCAAATGAGTTTTACCACAGAGGACCAGAAGGCCTCTGTAATGTAGAAAGGATTGGATAGGTTTTATGCCAAGCATAGTAATCTCAGTACTTAGGAGGCTGACATAAGAGTATCACAGATTGTTCAAGATCAGCTTGGGTTACATAGTGAATTCAAGGCTAGCCTGAACTAAACAGGTGGGACCCATATCTAAAAAGAAAAAAAAAAAAAAAAAAAAAAAGGAGCAAGTCTTTTGTAAGGTCAGGATTTTAAAAATATTTCACCTTCAGAGAAATAATGAAAAAGAAAATCATCCCATTGATTTCCCTCTTTCATTTTCCCAACTTTATTCAGTTGTAGGTTCACAGCAGGGTTGGAGGTAGACACAAGGTGAGGCCTGATCTGTCTTGGAACCCCAGGGACTCTACACTCCATGCTCTATGAATGGGAAGGGGTACAAGGGGCTTAGAAGCCCTGGCAGAAGCCTGCATACAGAGGAGAAGGCAATGAGTGCCAGGGTCCTAGCCCATGCCCACATGAGAAGGGCTGATACTGGCCGAGATTGAGGCGTAGAGGGCACAAAGTGTCTGCTTCTTAGGAACCAAATGACCAAGGCTTTGCCCAGGACACAAGTCCATAGGGCAGCTAGGGAACACTCTGGGTACAGGGCTGTGCCACTCTCTGTTTTTCGCCTTTCGTGAGGAAAAGTCAGAGTCTGGCTTGGGCCAACCAGCTACCCTGTCCTGCCCCATCCCATCCTCGGTCATCAGAATAGCTTTGATGTCTGCTTGAAGATAAATGCGAGTCATCTTGATGTTGGCATTGTTCTTACAGGCATCAATGTTATTATGGGGCTGGCCTATAATGACTAAAAGTATACTCTTTAGGCCATAGCCCATGGTGAAGCTGAAAGCCTTTTCCATATTAATCCACTGCTTTAAGTAATCCTATGTACTGGTAAGCCCACACACTGGCATTGGCCTGGTAGCATGACTTAAACTTGCTTGATCTAAGAGACCTTCCTTTGCTATCCACACATTGGCAAGCATGACTGACTATCCACTAGGGCCTGAATAATCTTGCTGAGCTCTGTATAGAAGAGGGTAAGCTATGGATGGACTATAGGCTGGACATACATGTAACAGATAGACTTAGTCTCTGTGGTCCAGATGTTTAGCTTGAGGATGGGGAACTCAGTGATTTCCCCATGCACTCTAATCCCAACTGACCTGGCCTTTACTGGCTTTAAAAGTATATTCTTACTATTTATGGTTTTTGCTGTTGTTATTGTTGGGTTTTTGAGACAGGGTTTTGCTGTGTAACCCAGGCTGTCCTTGAAATCTCAGCAGTCCTCCTGCCTCAGCCTCCTACATGTTGGAATTACAATCATGTGCCTCCACACTTTGCTCCTATTATGTACCGTACACGCTGAGAATAAACAGAATTGTGGGCTGGGATGCACCTCAGAGTTACCTTGTTTATCTACTATGCACAGGGCTCTGGGTTTGAACCCAGTGGAGCAATTTTATTCAAAATTTTTTTTTTTTTTTGGTCTTTTTGAGACAAGGTCTCACTATGTAGTTCAGGCTGACCTTGGGCTCACTTTGTAGGCTAGGCTGGTCTTGAACTTGCAAACAGTTCTCCTGCCTCAGCCTCTCTAGTGCTGGGATTACAGGAATGCATCACTATACCCGATTTATTCAATGGTTTTATCATTAGCAATAATATTATATTATTCTTAGTAGTAACCCTATGTGGTAAAAGAAATCAGTACATAATTTAATGTTCTAGAACCTAAAACTTTATGCTTGAAAGAGATCTGTGTGTAAAATCAGATAAGCCCTTCCCTTTCTCCCTCCAAAAATCAGATGAACCAGGCATGGTGGCACGCACTTATAATCCTAGCACACAGGATGCTGAAGCAGAAGGGTTGCAGTAAGTTCAAAGCCAGCCTGGCTGCACAGTGAGATGCTGCCTCAAAAAAAACAAAAAACCACAAAAACAAAAACAACCCATGAAATAAGGCCTTATAATATATTGAATTTATCAGTATGAATTCATGATTTAACAACAAAAAAAGGCTCCTAATTGTATCCACCAAATCGCTGTAGAAACAATGTCACCCTAGTAGCAGTAAGCATATTTGACATGTACATCTTGGTTTCTAATAACCATTATCCACCAAAAGGAACTGAGGCTTTTTAAAGAATAAACAATTACACATTATGCAGTAAGACAAGGATAAAAATTATGAGTTGGAAAAGAAAAAAACTATTATTTGTAGAAAAGAAAAAAATCCTTTTTTGGAAAGTATAATTATCTACATAGAAAAATCCATGAAAGCAGCAAATTAATAGGACTAATAAGAATTCAGGGTTACTAGTTATGAGATACATAAAAATGAAAATGATATACAGTTATAAAGTTTACCTTTTTTTGGTAGATACTATTTTTTTCCTGGTGCTGGGGATCAAATGCAAGGGATTTCCACTGAGCCACACCCTCAGCCTTTTTTTTTATTTTTTATTTTGAGGTATAGTCTTGCAAAATTGCCCATGATGAGCTCAAGCTTACAGTCCTGCTGCCTTAGCCTCCCAAAGTGCTGAAATTATAGAGATGTATCAGTACCTCCCTATTATAAAGGTTATATTTTTAATTTAAAGAAATATAAAATATTTTAGAAATAAATCTGACAGAATTGGTATATCTATTTTAGAGAGCATGATGGCATTACCTAATGAAGTAGTAGTGCCCTACTAGTGGTTGTATAGAAAATGCAATTTTTTTTAATTGCTTAAAGTGTTCTAAGTACTGTTTTGGGCACAAATAATTCAGCAGCAAAGAAATACAACATTTAGTACAGCATTGTTCCCAAAAGCCACACATTAGAAACAATCTTAATTGCCCATCAACAGAAGAAACAACGTGTATGTCATACAATGGAAATACCATGCCACTTAAAATAAATGAGTAAGAGATGTGTTTATCAACATGGAAAAGTCCAGGCATAGTGGCACATGCCTCTAATCCCAGTACTCAGGAGGCTGACGTAGGAAGATCACTTCAAGAACTATATAGTGAGACCTTGTCTCCAAAAAAAAATAAAAATCAACATGGAAAATATTCTAAAAATGCTATGTGAAAAAAAGCAAATTAAGAATAAACATGTATGATAAAATAGTACTTATGAAATAATAACATAGATTATAGATATGTAGTCATCCTAAAAAGGCAATGATGTATTGAAATTATTACCAAATTTAGAGTGGAAATCTCTAGAGAGGAAGGAATGTTTTATTAAAGTGGATGTCACTGAGTATATATTCATTTTTTTTTTTTTTTAATATTGGCAAAGTTTCACATTTATTAAAGGTAGAGAAAAGGGGTCGGGAATTTAGCTTAGTGGTGTAAGCACGCCTGTCTGGCAAGCACGAGGTCATGAGTTTGATATCAGGTACCAAAAAAAAAGAAAGAAAGGAAAAAGGAGAAAAATTAAAAACAGCATACTCTACAGTTCAGGGAGGGCTACTGTGAAGAGACAAGATAGTCTTGTTTGCCTAAAGTAGTTTATAGTAATTCAGATTATCACTAAATTTTCTTTGTACAGTTATAAAGTGATACAAAGTAAAAGTGTTTTTAGAAGAGCTATATAAAAATCTAAGCTGTGCCAAGGATATAGCTCAGTATACATTAGCACCTGCCGGCAAGCACGAGGTTATGAGTTCGATTTCTCTAAACCCTAAATCTAAGTTGTTTTATTTGATGTTTCATTCATTAAACATTGCATCCTTTCCTCTAGCATGCTTGAAGTGAGGAAATATTGATGCTAAATTAATACCTGATACCTAAATTTAACCAGCCTTTCTTGATATGAAATCTAGTACATGTCTTCTATTTCTAAAAATGTTCTGCCTGTTTTGAAATTAATTTTTCATGTGCAGGTGTCACTTACCTATTTTTATTTCCAGTGAGAGAGTTGTATGTACTCTCACTAACACTGAAGAAATATATTAAAAATGAAAATGTCATTTTTCCTGTTATTCTCCATAATACACCTCAATCAGTGACCTACTGATGTTTGAATTAAATGAACAGGCTGGGGCTATAGCTCAGTGGCACTGCACTTGCCTGGCAAGTGCGAGGTCATGAGTTTGACTTCTGGTACCAAAAAAAAAAAAGAAGAAGAAAAGAAAAAGAATTAAATGATCCTGTCATCTTTTCCAGATAAATGCAGTGCGTGCAATAGTTCCCAATAAAAGCAACAATGAAATCATCCTGGTTTTGCAGCACTTTGATAATTGTGTGGACAAAACAGTACAAGCATTTATGGAAGGTAATTTTAGCTCGTTTTTTAAATAAGTTTGTGTTTGTTCAGTAGAAGTTATTTTGGTCTTTCAGAACAGTCAGTAATGCAGCATTTCACAGATGATACAGCAGGACCCTATGATAAATAACATAAACGTAACATATCTTGACATTTTATTAATGTAAGATGCCTGTTTCAGCCTAGAAGCAATTTATTCATAAGCTTTGTGATATTAGGAATAAGAAACTAAAAAAACTTCATTATTTAACACAAAATATTCTCAACTGGTATTTAAGAAGAAATCAAGTGTCCAGTGTAACTGGAGTTGAGTTTAAAAAAAAGTTTACGTGATTCTTCATAACAAAGGAGTGATCTGGTACCCCATCAACAAATTGAAGAACTCAGCATTTTCTTCCATGCTCTATTGTCATTTAGTTTGGCACTGGCAAGTGACTCAGATGTTTTTCTTCTCTGTTCCTATAGAGGAATGGTAGGCTTAGTCAAGCTTTCAGATTCATAGAGCCAAGGAGTATCACATGACCTCTTTCCATATAATTTATTTGAGAAAAACTTACTTAAAGTTGTTTTATCATTGAATAGTAATGCCAAATAAGGTCTCCATTTTTAATTTCCTGGATTTGCAAATACAGGATAAACAGATCTAAGTACTGTAAGGTTTTTTCTTCACCTTCGTTCATTTTCTTTATAATGTTATGGATCTGCTGGAGTGTGCAGCTATTTCCAAATCAGTGTAGCCAAGGTGGTGTAGAATCTAAAGGGAAGTGGGTGGCACACTTGAGCAAAAACCAGTCATCTTTGTATTTGGACTATAGTGTAAAGGATCTTCAAAATGGCCAGGCTACATTATTCTCTTCTTGGAAGATCTTACGAGGGAAATTACATGAGAAAGGAATTTAAATAGGCAAGTATTCCAAAAGAAAAGCATATGTCACACTACTTTAGAGACTTGATCCTTAAATTTTCTTATTAAGAACTTTGGAAATTCTCAGACTGTTATAAAAATCAAGAACATTAATTGGTGTCTGACTGGGATAGGGGAGAAAATCTGTGATTGGTTTCTTTTACAGGGAGTGCCAGTGAAGTACTCAAAGAATGGACAGTAACAGGCAAAAAAAAGGTAAAAATTAATTAAATTTAAGAGCGTGGTATTGATGTTCATACTGATTTTTAAAATGTTGGCTCTACAAAAAATATTTGAAAGAAAAAGTTTCCATGAATGTCTTCAGTTCAGCTTTGCGCAGTGGCAGTATCATAGGCAATGAGGTTCATTCAAGATGTGATTATTACTAGTAAATACCTTCAGTTCATCTGGCTAAAATGTCCCCATTGACACTAAATGCAGCTATTTCAGCATTCTCTTCCATGCTCTATTGTTGTTTAGTACTGATTACCACCTAGTCTCTTCCCTGTAATTAAAGGAAGGAAACAGTAACTCTTTGCTAAGATCTTAGGAGTTGAAATAAGACAATATGTGGAGAGGAATGCAGAGCTGCTCCAGAACGGTGATTAAGGTTTTAACAATACTCACATCATAGATTAGGTAAAACACTCAGATTTTTTTTTTAACAAAGTATATTTATTGAAAGAAAGAAAGCTTCTATCTGAGGGAGGGACAGAGGGGTCCTGAGTGGGTTGCTGAGTGGGTCCCCACATTTCCCAGGGATTTTTATAGAGCAGTCACAATGTGAGGTGGGTTCAAGGTGGGGAAAAATGCAAACTCCTAAGACAGGGCATGAGGTGGGACAGAACTATGGTCAATCAGTAAGACTGAGTATAATTGCTTAGGTAAAATTTAATTAAATTGGGATTCAATAAGTGAGTGAGTCACATAGCAAGTGGGAACAGGGCCTTTGTCTGCAGGAGGTTGGATTAGTTGCGTCTTCTGGCTTCTAACTCAGATTTTTAAGTTAAACAACTGTGTTATCTCTAATATTAGTGAACTTTGACTTAAAGCCTAAAGAGGGCTTTTGCTACTAGAGCTATTAAGTGTCTTTGCAGAGGAGTCTGTACTTGAGGAAAGTAGAAGGTGCTTGAGTTAGAGAGGGTCAGACCTGGATTTCTATCTTGTTCCACTGTATAATGGCTTTGCGACCTGGAGTATTGTTTAACCTTGGTGTGCCTCATTTTGGTCATCTCTAAAACAGAAAAATAATAATACATACAAGTACCTATTATAATGCCTGACATGTAGTTCTTGATCCTTTCTCCTTTATCCACTTAAAACCAACATGTGGGCCAGGTGTGATGGTGCACTCCTGTAGTCACAGCACTTGGGAGACTGGCAGAGGAATAGCTATGACTTAGAGGCCAGCCTGAATTACATAGCAAGAACCTGTCTCAAACAAACAAAACACCTCCAAGATGTTTTCCAAATGAATACTAACTCGTCATAGTATTCTGCCCACAGCTCTGTACCCTAAATGTAGGCTCATTAGGAAATTAACTATGGATTTTAATCAAGTATCTCTATGAAACCTGTTAGGGTATTATTTTCCTGCATTAGGTTAGTACTGGGCCTCTGAAATGCTTCTTGGTGACTAACTCACTTTATTAGGCGGGGCCTGGTGATGCATACCTGTAATCCCAATGCTCAGCAGACTGAGGCAGGAGGATTGTTGCAAGTTCAGGGCCAGCCCAAACTGCATAGTGAAACCTAGTCTCAAAAAGACACACCCTCTAAAAAATCACTTCATTAGCAGTTCTGTCAGGGATTCATCATGCCAGACTTGGCCTTAGTGACCCTGAGTATTATCCAGGAGGTACCTAATGCCCTAAGCTTGTCCTGAAGCTGTCTATACCTGTAGCTTCACATATCTCTTAAACTTACCACTGCTTTCAATAAAGTTAGCTGTGAGTGTTCTGGAAAATAGGAGTGTCTTAATTTATTGTCCCAGGATGATAAGTGATTAGTGCCAGTTCACATGGATGAAAGTATTTAAGAGCAAGGTAAGAACTTGGGAGAGGAAATTGTATTTCAAGTTCAGTACTCTTGCTAGACATAGCCCACTGAAAACCCTTGAGGAGGGGAAACTGATTGAGTTATACTTACCTAACTCTAGGAGTAGAATTAAATATCACCAGTAGAGCTGTGAGATAACAAAAGAAAAGATAAAGATCTTGTTTGTTTATTTTAATTTTATTTTATTATTTTTGCTGGGTATGTGAGGCTAGCCTAGGCTATATAGTTCATAGTGACACCCTGTCTCAAAACAAACACTGTACTATTTTCATAGGTAATATATTCATGTGGCTCTGAATTCAAAGGTACAAACATTAGTACACTGAAACATCTTTATCCTATTCCTGTTTCATACCCAAAGTCAAACAGTGTTACAGTTTCTTAAATATGCTCTCCCAGGTATTTTATGCATATAAGCATATTCTATTCTTATATTGAGCTTATATCATATTTCAATATACAGTATAAGGAACTTTTTTTGTTATTGTAGACTTACAGTCATCTTCTTGTCTGTATGTACCATAACTTACTTAACCAATTCCCTATTAGTCAAGCCTTTGCTTTTAGTAACAATACTGCAATAAGCAACCTGATATAATACATAATTTTGAACTTGTTAGCCTCACCTAGGATAAGTCCTTAGAAGCAAAATTGTGGGCAAAAAGGTCTGTGCATTTATAATTTTGGTAACTATTACTAGATGGCCACTGGTAGGGATACATGAAAGTTCTCTGTACTCTCAACTCTACAGTGTTATTATACTTTTTTACTTTGCTAATCAACAGATAAAAAATGATATTGCAGTATAGTTTTAATAGATACGTCCTTTATATGGGCTTATACTTCATTCCATATGTTTATAGTTTATATATTTTCTATTCTGTTACTTGGGGTTTTTTTAAGAACTCTGTAAAATTAGCTCTTTTGTTTATATATAAGCTACATTTTTTTTTTGTAGTTTATCTTTTCATTTTGCTGAAGGTAGGTTTTGCCATGAGCAAACGTTGTATATTTATTTATATTATGATACATAGTAAAATTTTGTTTTAGACAATCTTTCAAAATATACAAAAATATGTTCAATCTCTGGAAAGAACATGAGAAAGTGGTAGCATTTATTGATTGTTTTGGGTAGCTAGAGATGTTGTATTGTTGGAGGGTCTGCTTTTTCTTTCTTTTTTTCAAATCTTCAATAACTTTAGAACAAAAAGAAGAAAAGCAAACCAAAACCTGCAGCAGAAACAAGAAACAGTATCCCAGATTCCAGTAAATTGGTTTCCACTCAAGAAGAGCAGTCTGCACCTTCCTCAGAGAAAGGTGGCATTAATGGTTACCATGTTAATGGTGCCATCAATGATGCTGAGTCTGTGGATTCGCTCAGTGAAGGTTTGGAGACACTTTCAGTGGAGGCCAGAGAATCAGAAGACCCTGAACCGCCCATGCCAGTTAGAACAGGTAAGTTTATTAGCAGGTTCTTCAAAAGTTACATTCAGTTGAAAAATATAAGGACTTCCCTGGTTGAGAAAACTATCAATAAATTAAATGTAATTGGTCTTTGATTAGTTTTTGTTTCTTTTGTGTAGAAGAATGGCAGTTTATACTTGTCAGAGGCCTAGAAAACTACATCTTGTTCCCTGTCTCATATTTCAACTTCAGTCATATGAAATATTTTCTATCCTAATAGCAGAATACTTAATATTTAGAAAAAGCAGACACTTTATCTTTCCTATTCATTTAAGAAAATGATAAAGATGAGATAATCTTGTTTTCTAGTCAAGAGTTAACATCCACAATAGTTGTAAATTCATGTATCTAGTATGTTTTTTTGCCAGCCATTTTGTTGTGTTGGGAAGATACTAGAAATAGATTTTTTGAAAATTACTGATTTGTTAATCCAACTTTCCTTGCTTTGCACTTCCTACCTCTATAAATGTAGCGTCACTTTAACAATTATGCTATGTTTTTTAGAATTTCTTTTATTGATCCATACACACTACACACCCTAGAGAAAAAATTTGTACCTACACAGACTCCAAACAAGGATAGCCAATTGCTTTCATGTTTTTTTTTTTTTTCTTGGCTAACCTTTCTCACATTTTTGAACTCTATTCCTCTGTACTCTCCAAAGCTTTTTGTTCTTTCCCAGAGTCAATGTAAAATTCTCTTTCCTCAATGTAAATTTATGGAAACTAGCTGAAGTTGGTAATGTTGCCTCTCCACCTGTGGAACTGTAGGGTATTACTTCCTATCTAACTTGGTTGGCTATAGCTGCTTTTTTCCATGCCTGGTGCCTCATAGGAGTAAGCCAGAAGCTGCCAATAGTCACACCCAGCTGATTCTGATCTTTGTTTTATTTTGTCACTTGATTTTGCTCACAAATTTTGAAGAGCCATGGATTTGCCTAAAAGGCTTTGGCATACTTACTTTGTGCACTTAGAACTGCTTGACTGATTTAATCCCACGATATGCTCTAAAGCTCTGGATCTTTATTGGACAGGATCTGTGCTGGAGAATGGTGTCTCTGACTTGGAGCCCAAGTCTTTGACTACCTCCTCTGTTCAGAATGTTCAGCACTCCAGGAATGCTGCCAAATCTCTGTCAAGATCCACCACAGGACCTCACTTTTCAAATCTTGGGACGGAGGATGTTCCACTCTCCTCTACCAACAAAAAGCTAGGTAATGCAAGGTCCCACCTAAGAGGGAATGAAAAATCCACTTCTGGCTATCCCAAAGATAAGGTTTCAGAAGGACATCACATAATACTTTTCCTATTTTGCAGACTTCAATTCTGTAAAACATATTCTACCTCTGTGTACACAGCTGGAGTCTAAAAAAGTGTGGTTCAGATGTGTCATCTTATTAGAGGACAGAGGTCTTCTGTGTGACTTATAGGCAAACTTAACTGCCAGGATGACATAGCTAATATTAACCTGTTTCCTTTGTTTTCTTTGCTGCAACATATCTGTGTTATTTCTTCTATTTTTATCTCCTGATTTACTCAACAAGTCAAGGACCTTCATTTCTTCCATGATACTCCAAAGAAGTATTTTCACTGTTCTTTACCTCTTCATGTTCTTATTGATGGCTGACTGACTCTAACTTTTAACAAGATCATTTTTTAAGTAGTTAGCATCACTAGTGGTAGTTCTCTGCTTTTTCCAACTAGTATAATCATTTAAATAACAGCCAATAATTAGAGGTAATAGCTTCTCTGAGTTTTATACATTTAAGCATGGTGGTCACTAAAGTAAACAGATGAAACAGAAATGTAAAGGTCAGTTGTAATCTGTAGTTCCTTAATGAATTATTTATGCCACGTGAGCTAAATTATAATTAGTGCAGTTCTTCTTTTTTATCTTTATGAGAATCCTTAGCTTGATGCAGAACAAGTCTGAGACTATCCATGCAAGCAAAAATAAAAGATGTAGGCATGAGACTTTGATGTTGCAAGCATTACTCCCAAGCTACTTGGAACACTGAAGCAGGAGCATTGCTTAAGTCCTGGAGTTTAGGGGCAGCCTGGGAAATACAGTAAGACCCCCATTTCTAAAAGTTCAAGAAGTTAAAAATGTGTGTCTTAGCACATTCATAAACTTCTTAAATCCATGATTCTAACAATTAGCTTAATGTATGATTTTGGCATTGGTGAATAGAAAAGTTAGTAGAACGTTGGAAGCTGATTAAAATAAGTATGGTGAGTGTGTGCTCTTTTTTCTACAAAGCTGGCTTCCCCACATACAGTGTTTCAAGCTGCACTATAAAAAGATAACTGTATAACTTTGCAATGTGCACATAGTAAATTACTTTGTTAAATCCTGTCCTTCGGTATCTAAATAGGTTTTTTTCTTTTTCTCTGTTTCATTTTGAATAGTTTCTAAAATTGCTGTGTTCAGATTCGTTAATATTTTTTTAACAATTTCTGGTCTGCTGTTAATTCCAGTTTATTTTTCATTGCAGAGGTTGTTTTTTAATCTCTCCATACTCAGTTGAGATTTTTAAAATGCCTCTTACATTTCTACCTAACATGCTTCTGTTTTGGTCTACCTTGAATATATGATATCTGATTGTAATAACTATTTAATGTCTTTTTCTATCGGTCATTTTTGCATCTATTTCTATTGATTTTTCTCTTCATTATGGGCAATGTTTTCTGCGTACTTGTTTTTCATTTTGAGACACGGTCTTGCTATATAGTTTAGGCTGGCCTTGAACTGGCAGTGACCTTCCTGCTTTAGCCTCTCAAGTGCTGGGTTATAGGCATGAGCTATCATGACTGGCTTTTGTTTCTGTTTTTTCAGGGGGAAAATAGTACACTGTCTTCATTGTCTGAAAACCAGTGTTCCATATATCTTACTGGTGTGCATATGTTAATCGTTTACTATAAGAGGATAAGTCCTGCTCTTTGTTACTTCATTTTGACCAGATTAGGTTTTTTGTTTTTGATATGTTTTTTCTATGATACTGGGGGTTAAACATAAGGTTTTCACATTGAGCTACATCTCTAGCCCTTTCTTTGTTTTAATTTTGAGAAAGGATCTCACTAAGTTATGTTTCCCAGGCTAGACAGTCTTGTGATCCTTCTGCTGAGCCTTCCAGAGTGCTGTGATTGTGGCATATACACTGCACATCACACCTGGCTTAGGATACTTTTTTTTGTAAATCTATTAAAAATAATTTTTGTGTTTGGGAGGTGATCATTTAGGACACATTCTTAGACTACATGTTATTTATCTTAGGTGTTCAGATTCAACTTTTAATTACATAATTTTCCTTTGTTTAGTAATCTTAGTGTTTTCCTTCCCAGGTTCCAATATTGAAAAATCTGTAAAAGATCTTCAGCGCTGCACAGTGTCTCTTGCACGGTATCGAGTTGTAGTTAAAGAAGAGATGGATGCTTCTATTAAGAAAATGAAGCAAGCTTTTGCTGAATTGCAAAGTTGGTAAGTTAAGTTGCTTTTGGTATCACTAGTATAAAATCACTGTTTATGAAAATGGTTAGTTATTCACCAGACCCTTCGATTTCCAACTCCTAATTACTGTCCATAATGGGGAAGAGAATTTAAAACCCTGTGATACATGTATTACTCTGCTTAATTCTTAAGTCACAGTGTGGTAATGAGTGGTACAGAGGAACTCACACCACTCTAGAAATGGGCATGAGATTAATACTGTTTGGAATGGTACAATAGAGCACATTGCATATATTTATCTCAGGATTGTAAACCAAGAGTATAATAAATGACATGATGTTTGAACAAAAATTAGAGAGAGACCTGTTTTTGTTTCCTTTTGTACTTGTTATTGAACTTCACCCAAGTGACCTCGCCTTATTAATCATTGAATTGTTTTAATTTTTGTGTTTTTCAAACTGTTTCTTAAAGTACTCATTTCTCTAAATATATTAATATGTCTCCTATAAGGGAAACCAGTTTAGTAGTTAAAGAGGTAGTTTGAAAAAAATTTCTTTTTTAAAAAAATATTATTACTAGGGCCAGGTATGTAACTCAGTGGTGTAAGCACCTGCCTGGCAAGCGCATGATCATCAGTTCAATCTGCAGTACCAAAATATATATATATATATATATATATATATATATATATATATATATATTACTACTGGATTTCTCAATGGCGTGTGTGTGTGTGACTTTTGAATGCTAGCGTGCATTATGATTACAAGAGGAATGTGTATACCATGCTACTTTTGAGGGAGAAATTCATACTGATGTTTTCTAGGACACAAAAGTGTGTTTAACTATTTAATATTAAGATGTTACACATGGGGGCTAGGGATTTAGCTCAGTGTCATAAGTGCCTGCCAGGCAAGTGCGAGGTTGTGAGTTTAATCCCCAGTACCACCAAAAACAAAACAAAACAAGATGTTATACATGGAAAATACAGTTCTGTTCTGGGGATTATTTGTGTCTTATAAGGGCTTTGTTTTTGAAAATAAAGACTTTAGGACCAAAATTAATCAAAATGACAGGAAGACAAACAGCTGGGCTGATTTAAGTATTTTAGGAATGTCCATTCTGCTTATTTGTGAGTACAGCCCATATCTGAAATATGAGAAGAGGTGATTATGTCTGTTAAGAGCGTGACCTGCTCGTCCTCCCAACTATCCAGCCATTTTCTTGCTGCTTGTCTGTGGACTTGCTTAGATTATGCCAAGCCATGTTTTTGTTTACAAACTTAGTCTAGGCATTGTGTGCAAAACAAGAAAGCCAGAAAGAAGAAGCGTTTGGGTCCCCTCTGTTATCCTAGCCTCTGAAATTGGAGGAGTGAAGTCATGAAGGTGAAATAACACCTCCAGAAAGTTAAATCATCATAACCAAACAGTACATTTTAGGAGAGTTAATACATTTAGTAGTTTACACATCTTGAACCTTGCATGTAACCTTTCCAATTTTAAAGCTATGTGCTTAATGCCATGTCTTCTGTATTGAGGGTGGGGAAATGTTAAGATAGGGACTTGCATTGTAGTTCACGCTGGCCTGGAACTCACTGTGTAGCCCATGCTAGCCTGGAACTCACAGTAGTCCTCCTGTATCAGCCTCCTGAGTGCTGGGCTTACAGGAATATGTCATCATACCTTGCCAAGTTACTTATTATAATGTTCATATTTCCTGTCTTGGGGACTAGTTGATGCCACTTATCCAATTTGACATGCCATTTTATACTTCTGTATTTATCTAAATTTGTCCAGTTCTCCAAAACTAAATGAAGCTCAGGCATCTGAAAATTTTAGGTACTGTTTTATCTTCCTTCTTAACTTCTGGGGGGAAGTTCCTAGCTCTTTGGACTGGATTCTTGTTGTATCAGACAGATACTGTTGGCATATTTGGAAAAATAAAGAGCTAAGTATAGGTCATCACAATTTTGCTTTGATAGGCTTCTGAGCTTGCATTTGTTCAGTTTAATGATTTCTTAGCCACAGGATGCAGTTCCATTTAGAATAAGCCTGAACCAGGAAACACAGTTCCGGGAGTTATTTGAGATTTCTTTCTGACTTGGAACCCAGCCAGGAGGAACCTCCTTCAATAAATGACAAATGAAACGGTTTCCTGCCTGGGAACTGTGTATTTAGTATTGATTAGCAGGCATAACAACAGGGTCAATTTAACTTGAGGAGACACCTACTCTTTCCTACTTGTGTAAAGGGCTTTTCTCTGGCTGATCGGGTTTTTTTTAACTACCTTATTTCAACATTCCTTCTACTAGCTACTTCAAGACATAATTGATAGGTGAACTAACTCTGTTTGGCACTAAACCAGACCTTGGAGCTAATGTCATGTAGAAAACCATTTTTTGTTGTGGTTACAGTAATAAAGAAAAGCAGATACTTCTGAGATTTTTTTTTTTTTTTTTTTTAATCGGTACTGGGGATCGAACTCACAACTGCCTGCTTGCAAGGCAGGTGCTTATGCCGCTGAGCTAAATCCCCAGCCCCTTTTTTTTTGAGATTTTTTTTTTTTTTTATTATTTGAAAAGCAGTTTCTTCTAACAGATTGGCAGCAATAAGATTACATTACTTCTGACAAGGAACTAGGTAAATTATATAGGTGACTCCTTTTACTTTGATGCCAAATCTAAGCTACCTATGCCTGGTGGAAGGTAAATTTAGCAGCTTTCCAAAGTATAAAACTAAAAACCTGTTCTTACTGATGACTTAATAATAATCATCTCTAGACCTAAGTTTACCCTTTTTTGTTAATTAATAATAGTTATGTGCTTTACATTCTTGAGGCTTTTAGTTGACCTAAGTTTAAGATTGTGAAGGAGATGGGATATGGAGTAGAATATGATTCTAGAGTATATAAACTTCTTTGGAAGGTTGTCATATAATGTATTTGTAAAAAAAAAAAGTTAACAATGCTTACTCAGTTTCCATTTTAAATAAAAAGTTTCAATTTTGTGAAAATCAAAGGTTTATTTTTAAAGAGGAGAGTTTCCACTTGATTCAAGAGAAATGGGTAAAAAGGATGGATATAGTGGCACACTGTATAATCCCCACCACTCAGGAAGCTGAAACAGCAGAATTGCCTGGAATTCGATGCCAGCCTAAACTATATAGTGAGATCATTTAACAAAAGGAGGGGGAAGAAATGCATAATAAGGTCAAGAGATTGTTAAGAAATTTGAGATTAGGGTCTAGGAATGGTGGCGTAACATTTACCTAGCTTGTGCCCAGCACTTCATTCAAAGCTCTAGCCCCCTACCTAAACCACTCCCCGCAAATTAAAGTTATACAACACATAAAGTCATATTAGGTGTGCAGTTAAGATTGAAATTTTTCATAGGTGATTCTTTATTGGGCTGATTGTGTATTGGTTTGTTTTTCCTTGCAGTGCCAGGGATTGAACCTGTACCTTTATACTGAGTTACATCCTCAGCCATTTTTTATTTTGAGTCAGGATCTTGCTAAAGTGCCCAGCCAGGGCTTGAATTTGTGATTCTCCTGTTGACACATTCTCCCGGAGTTCTGGGATGACAGGCATGCATTACTGAGCCCAACTTCTAAATTTGTGTTCTGTTCTTTAAAAATACTAAATTAAGAGAAAGTAATTTTACCAAAAGCTTTCAGTTTCTTAAATTTAAAGGATATATGGAGATGTTAAGAACTAAAAAATAATTTTATCAACCAGTATGCCTCAAAAAAAATCTAAAAAGTACAGAAAAGAAGGAATATAATAATGTACTGTCAAAAATGTGCATACTGTTATAGTTCCAATTTATCATTCAATTTTTGAATGGCTAGTATCTTGATAATCTTATTTCTATTAACTTGCCTGTATAATTCTTGAGGGTCTTTATTCTCTCACATTAACAAGGGATTTGAGTCTTAAGTAGTTTATGTAACATGATGTGCTATGTTGCAGATCCAATATTTGAACCTATGTGATCTTAGTTTTGGTTTTGTTTTGAGATAGGGTCTTACTGTGTATTCTGACTGGTCTTGAACTCACAGTGATCCTCCTACCTCAGCTTCCTGATTTCTGGGATTACAGGTGGCACTAACGCACCTACCTGGCTCTTGAATCTCTGTGATCTGACCCAGTAATTTATAGTCTTGTCCCATAATTTCTTGAAGGCTCACCCTCCCTGCCTAAGGTTGAGAAGGCATGAGACTGGTTGGTAAATGTCACACATTATTTATTCCTCAGCTGAAAGGCAATGTAACAGAGAAACCCCACCGTGAGAAGATTTTTGTGACTTAAGAAATTTAGTTATTAGGAAACTGAACTAGATTTGGGGTAAGCCTATGAAAGTAGTTTGTAAATTCAGTAAACTATAAGAAAGAATACTCTTAAAACTATAAGAAAGAATACTCTATCCAACATCCTCCACCTCCATTCTGGGGCTAGCACTCAGGGCCTCATGCATGTTAAACAAGTATTCTGTTGAGCTGCATTTCCAGCCCATTTTAGTTTTGTTGGTTTATTTGTGTATTTTTGAGACAGGGTCTTGTTATATAGCTTAGCCTGGCCTTAAACTTGCTACGTAACCCAACCCGGCCTCAGACTCACAGTAATCTGCCTGCCTCAGTCTCCCAAATACTAGGATTATAGGCATGCAGCAGCACTATACCAGTGTCCAACCTATTTTAAATTTTATTTTAGGACAGGATCTCACTAAATTAGCCAGGCTGCTTTCAAATTTTTGATCTCTTGCCTCACTTGCCTGAGTAACTGGGATTAGGTATGTATTACTCACTTGGCTAAAATGTACTTTTTTTTATATTCAGTTTTTAAAATTCAATAGCTGGGTATGGTGGCACACACTCAGGAGACTGAGGCAAGAGGATCACCACAAGTTTGAGGCCAGCCCAAACTACATAGTAAGACTCTGCATCAAAAAAATTCCTGGTATTACGTGACATTATCCCACTATTCTTCCATTTCCTGTGCCTCAGCAGGCATCCTTGTTGGCTTTGTTCTGC